GTATATCAGGTCGTTTCGTTTCGCAAATAAACTCGTTTCCGTTTCGAGGTAATGGTTCAATTGATTATATTTGAATAGAAGAAGAGGAAGTGAATAAAGATTGAAAGGGCAAAAAAATCGACCATTCGAATGATGATGCAAGCAAAATGCCATGATTGATGCTTCGAAGGCGGAAAAATTGATGGTTAAACTTGAAAGCCTCGATACCATTTTTAGATGCACAAGATTAGTTAATTGCAGTGAGGAACGGGCTGTTTTACAAGTGTAAACAACGTGAATTGCAGCTGTTATTTCAGCACAAATCATAAATTATGACATCGTATAATAAACATTCAATTCTAAGACCATAAGTAGCGATGACAATAAAAGCCATTCAAATAAAATGATATTCAAGAGATATCAGGAATGATTTACAATCATACATGTAAACAACACATCATTTCAAATGGAGATCAGTTTTCGAAAAGAAATCTAGAGCTTGCACAAATGAACAAAAGACACTTCATTTTTCAGTTCAAGATAGAATACTCACCTAAATTGCCGCCATAATGATAATTAACTACAAATCAAGAGCTTAGTGTGTTTATACACAAGAGATATCTCTCCGGTTTTATCGTATATTCTTTTCTTTCCAACCATTTAAGACCTTGAACTTCCACATATTTTTTTTAAATTCTTGATTACATTACGTTTCATGTAACAAAAGCATGCATCAGGAGATGTAAACAAGACAAAGAAAAATCTTCATTCATAGAAAGATCATTTTTGTTTATTTAAAAAAAAAAGAGTTCAAAAATGCTTTTGAAAAGAATCGTTCCAAAAATACGGGCAAAGAGAATTAAAGACCAAGAATTACCCTAAAGATTGTATAATGATCCATTGCTCAACTTGAGAGGCTTATTTGCCATCGCAAGTCAGTGCTGACTCACAAAAATTCACATAAATTGACTCGCGAGTCCTACCACAGAAAGTACAGAGTATTTTCAACAAATCTACGAATCAACGTGAGTCAGTCGAATTTTTTCTCTCGAAGAAACAGTGACTCGCAAACTCATATGAAAAACTCGCAAAATTGCCTACATTTTTCGTGTTGACTCATAAGACTCGCATGACACCTAAGACGCTCGGCTAAACTACACGCATTAAATCTATTGCTAAATTAAAAGAGCATCCTGAAAAAAGCTAAAAAATATGAAGTTGTTGATCGCATTCAATCTATAAAAAAAAACATCATTTCATGAAGGAAAAAAAATCATGCGAAGCTGGTTCATTCATAGCATATGGTGTTGTCACATAATCCGTTGTTGTGCTGGCATAACAGTTTTGTAGCATGGCCAATATGGTTTTTGGCCGTATGATGACGGGGCCACATTTGGAGGCGAACAAAAAACCCAAACATTACACGTGGACAAAAAATTTTGCTTTTATAGCGGTAAATCTCGTGAATTTGTGAGCAAGATAAGAAAAAAATGAGTTGAGCATCAATAACGAGGCAGCCGCTTCCAAAAAGAATGAAAAATAAAAAACGGTCGTACTCCATGCATTTGTGTACGAACTGAGAGCAACATACGAGAGAAGCAAAAAAAACACACGACAACATTTTTGTACCAACATTAGCAAATAGAAGTAGCATTTAGCCCATCTGACTATAATTACTACAATCGTTTTGTTGTTCCGTGTGCATTGTGCACGCGCGGCGGCCCATCGCTTCGCTGCTCTAGGTTATGTGATTCGGTATATTTTCGGTTTGAAGAAAGGAAGCAAAAGGGGAGAAAAAAAAACTCGAAAAATCGCCGCATTTTACGCTGCTGGTAACGACCGTTTTAATTGATTTTCCCGGATGACAAAATGAAAATAAAAATAATTTCTCTCATATATTCCTCTCTCTATACCTCTATACAGACATACACTCACACACAATTCGTATTGCTCTTCTTCTTTTTTTTTCTTCTCTTCGGCCGTTCGTTCACGTTGCTGCTGTTCACTCTTCACAAATACGTCGAAGCTTTTAACATTGCTGTTATTATTTTCACGAATCAATGTTAAATAACAAGGACAGGTGTTTCGTCGTTTTTATCCCTTCTTCTTCTTCTTCTTCTTCTTTTCAAATATATGTATATATAATATTTGTTCGTTATTTATTTATTTGTTGTTGTTGTTCTTGCTGCTTCTTCTTCTTTGATATTCAGTTCACATTTGCATTTCGACTGATTTGGCAAGCAATATCGAGTGTCCGTGTCGAGAAAGAAAGAGAGAGGGAGAGAGAAAGAGTGCTAGCTGCGCGCTCGCTCGCATTTTTTTCGAAATTCGGTTGCCGTTGAACAGTGTATAACATGCAAAGCACATGATCAAAAAGGAAAGTAAACTGCAAGCAAGCAAATATTCGTCGATTTGTGAGCGGTTGTTTTCGTTTGTAGTCTTTCTGCTTGAACATGTTTTTTTTTCTTCTATCGTTTTGATAGAGACCTGGGTGGTCCTTTTAAATTTTCAAGTTGTAGAAAAGGAGTTTTTTCGATCTTGCTTTTTTTGCAGTAGAAGTGGGCAACAACTGGTAATGTACAGAAAACAAAACCTCAGATGTTTTAAACTGTTTGAAAAGGAGAAAATGGACAATTTTATAGGAAGGAGGTATGAATGAGTTCCAACAGATGTCGAACGATATTGTACAGTTGAAATAAAAGGATTTTATTTTCACTTGAATCCATACAAATGGCTTTCACTCTCTCTTTCTCTTTTAATAGAAATGAAAACAACATGAAAAAAAAATCAACAACTGAATGACGAAAAAAAAATCGACAGTCTTTTCATCGTGGCTAATGTGCTCTGAAAAAGGCTGCTAGAGGTTTTTTTTTGTTGTCTTCATTGCTCACCGGGCACACAAATATACATAATATGACGTTTTCTCAGGTTACATCATAATTCCTTTTGTGATCAAATTGCTTGAGTAATATTTGATGAGTCGAAAGTTGCCGTTCATGAAAATTTAATATGACTTTTTTTTTTCTCGTTTTGGTTCTCTCTGTCGCGTTGTCTTGTTGACAAACGGGCTGAGATTTGTTGTTTGGAGGAAAAGTTTGGATTTTATTCAGCGGCTTTGATTGGTTCTATCACCAACAACAACCACAACAAAAACATGGATTTGAATGGCATACGAACAGGCAATGTGATTCCTGCTTTCCAACGAGTGTTTGGTCGTCATCTCCATCGCCATCGTGATTGTCATCGGCGGTGGCGGTGGCGGCAATCGATCATTTTACGGATTGCTTTCAAAAACACCGATATGAATATATTAAATACATCGCGTATCATACATATCAATCCATATTTTCAGTTATTGCACCTGTGTGTGTGTGTATGTGTGCTTTTTTTTCTTCGCTTTTCTTTTCGTTTTTCATGTCATTGTAGGGACATACATATCGGTAGGGGGTGCTTAAAAGCCAAAAGGACAATATGAACGTCTCTCTACTGTTAACATATAAAAACGACATAAAAACACGTCTATGAACTGCGTGTGCTTGTGCTTTGTACTGTGCTTATTGTTGTTGTTGTTGTCAATGTCGTTGCTTTGTTTGGACTTTGGTTGTGTCGGCAAAAATGTGTTGTGGACTGAGTGTGACTTTTTGAAATTGAGTTCACCATATCCAGCCAATACACACACTCAATCTGAAGCGAAAGAGCGAAAGAGCTGCCGTTCCAAATTCCACATTCCGAAACGGTTGTCATTAGTTACAAAGTAATGGTGATATGTGTGCTCTTGATTTTCCAAGAAGACAGAAAAAAGAGAAAATAAAAATGAACCGATTTCATACATATACACTATATATTACATGTATCCGATGGGTGTCCATTTCGAAATGAAAACAAAACAAAACAAAAAATCACTAGATGCACACACACATCATGTATTGGAAATATGTGCGGCAGCACAAGAGGGATGACACACGAACGAATTGTTATGTGTGCTAACTCGCGCTAACTAAGGCAGTAAATGCGGTCATGGAAATCGAAAGAGAAAATGAACAAAAAACGGGTGTACGCGGTGCTTCATTCCAATGTTTGAATCTTAACATACACACTCGATTTTTTTTTTGTGGAAACAAACAAGTTGGCGTAATTTTCAGTTTTATTATCAATATTAATTTTTTTTCGTTTCAATAAAATAAATGTGTGATACTTATAAAAAAGAATGCGATGCTTTTTTTTCCTTCTTCTCGTTCTTCAACTCATTGATCAATAAAAATTTTTTTTCTGTTTTTCTTTTGAGTCTCATCTTTACGTCATTTTTTCAACCATCGTTTAAACAAATTTGAAGTACATTGTGATTGATATTTTATAATATACTAAGCAAAAAAAAATGTTTTCATTTTCAGTAACATTTTAGCGAAAGTTCCTTTCTATTTCTCTCTTCTCTTTTTTTTCTGTTTATATAAATCATGTCATCAGATTTGCGTCTCTGATTCTTTTTTCTCATCGTTGATGTGTATCAAATCCCAAAAATCATCCATTATCAGTGTGATATATATATATATTTATATATGCCATATGTATATCTAAGGAACCCTTAAATCATAAAGAATTCATTCATTTTTTGTTGCTTTTTGTACCGGCTTACACACTCTTTCTCTGTATTTTCGCTCGCATCATGCATGCATACATATTACATCATTGTTTTCTTCTTCCTCTTCTGATCATTTTTTATCGTAAATTCATCTCTGTTGCAAGGACACATAGCATAGCATTTTTCATGTTTTATATTGTTCATCTTCTTTCGCTTGATTCGCGGCAGGAAGAAATGAAAAGCCATTAATTGGCTTTTCTTGCACGTATTCGCAGAAAAGTGGTAAAGAGACAAAGAAGCGCTTCGACGGCTATTCTGTGTTATCGCGTTCGGTTTTGTTTTTTTTTGTATTTTTTTTTTACTTCATTCATAGAGAAAGATAGAAAGACTGAGATAGACTGAGATATATATTGCATATTTTCATGGAATCAAATAATCATCATTTTGGGAAAGCGCTTGTTCCTCTTTTACCCGAGAATTTTATTTGTTTGTTTGTTTTGCATATACATTCACTTACGCCGTGAATTATTTCTATCGAATTGGTTGCGTCTCATTCCACCGCCGGTGCGTCGATTGTTGCCGCCACCACCACCACCACCATTATTACTGCCGCCGCCTCCGCCTCCGTTACCGCCACCACCACCCGAGCCTCGATTACCAAAGAATGGATTTTGGCTGGCGTTTTGTATGAGATTATAGGCATCATTCAAAGGCATATTTGGTGCTATACCTAAAATTCCGGGCCGTATTAAATCACCCGGCAATGATCCAGCAAAGCCAGCGAGCATTTGTGCTGTTGCGCCCGCCTGACCAAGGAATCGTGGCCCACCCAGTGCACTGATTTGCGCTTGCAATGCAGCTTGCTGTTGCTGTTGCACTTCCTGTTGTTGCTGTTGATTTCGTAGGTAGTCAACGTCCATTGGTATTGACATTAAATCAACTATTCCTTGCGAATTGCCGGCACCCGTACGACCCGACATTTCTTTACCGCTCAAACCCGTTGTTTGATCGAGCTGCACAAATTCACCGTCATCACTAATGAAAATTCCTAAATTGGTTAATACCTCCTGCAGCAATGGATTCTGATTAATAAAATTTAAATCAAATATCTTATTGTCCGATGGATCGGCATGAAATTTTTTCAACTCAGTCGATACAATGGCCAACTGTTGATTGACCATAATCTTTTGCTTTGAACTACAGTCCTTGTACCAATTCGATTTCTGTAGAATGTTCTGTATATCCAAATGCACCGAACGTTGTGGTTGTGACGACAATGATGATAACGATGATGATGGTTGCTTATTTAATACTGAGGCTGTGGCATTTGACGCCGTTGTGCCAGCGCCAATGTGCGCATTTGGACGACGTGGATCGGTTCGTTGCCGTCGCGGATCACCGCTTATTGGATTATCTAGTTTGGTTGCTGTAATGGTGGGCGCTTCGGGCTCATGCGGCGGTGAAAATGGTGACGCTTTTATGCTTAATGCAAATAATTCGGTGTCCGGATCTTCTTTTATCCGTAATATCCGTCTGAGACGCGGATCAAGCGTATTTTTATGCGTTGGAATACTTCTTCGCAATTCACTGTAGTCCGGTTTTGGAATATCCACCTCCATCACCTAGTTTAAAATTGAAAGTAGAAAGAAGAAAAAAAAAATTGCAAAAGAGAAAAATGAGGGGGAGAAAATACAAGAAATTAACGATTAATTCGAAATCCCAAGGCGTGGGAGCCATGATTATTTTATGGAAATAAAATGTTTTTATAAATTAATAAAAAAAATCAAATTCCATATTCTAAAATAAATTCAGTTTAAGGAGTACAAACGGAAACAGCTCTTACCTCATATGTGATCGGTGCATGTGAAGTGATTGCAGCATCAATTTCCGTGGCCGGTATGTAATTGGCCATAACTGGTTTGAATGGTAGTCGCAGGTCAATATCACCGTTTGAATAATCCTCAAAAATTGGGATGCGCATATCTTTGTCTTTGCTCAACGAAAATGCATTTTTATTCCGTGAATCTTGTGAATCGTCATCATCACTGGGCGATCGAATGCAATCATCATTTTGATTTTCATCGTCCGAACTCACTTCGTACATACTTTTTCGTATCGGCTTGACCAGCACCGGTGGTGAACTACAATTATTTCGTGCATTCGTCTCTGACGAACTGTCATAATCAACGGTTGGCGATGGTTTCTCATCGAGTGCTTGTGGAGCCGGGTGATTCGTTTCGGGTATTTGCCTATGAGTTTCATGAAGAGAAAGGAGAAGTTTAATTTTTTTTTTCAGAAAAGATCAGTAGATATTCGAAATGAAGATTCGATTTAGAACAGCAAAGACAAATCGATTCGAAGGTCAGATTTAAAACAGAAAAAAGATGCAAAATTTGGAATAAAAATGAATTGAAAAGAAAATTTATGAATTTTTTGCATCAAAATTTCAATAAAAATTGAGTCGAAATGCGTACCTCGAATAGAATGATGTTCTTGTTGACGGTGATCGACTGGGTGATTCATTATCTGGAAAGCAAATGAAAAGTCAAGAAAAAAATAAATAAATAAAATTTTTCTCCTTAAGTCATTCTCGTTGGGTTAGTAAGGGATATGAAAATGTGTTCAAGTGAACAAAAAAAAAATCTCCCAAAGTAAAAATCACTTACCATCAAGAGGTTCCGTATTGAAACCACTGTCCGCTTGGCTATTATAGTTATCAGTCTTTTGTACGCTGTCTTTGTCCTTTTTCAAATATTGTGATACGGATGAGCTTAAGTCGATTTTATTACTTGTCGGATATAGTGATGATGGTGCATAAAATGCTGGCAAGATATTTTCATTTTGATTTGATGGATCTGAATTTGGATCAGGGCTGGGTAATGAGTTTGCCATATCGCTGGGCTCGCGTTGCGAATCAAACCAAGTAGACGCTTGTGAGTTGAATTCGCTTGTGTTATCCTGAAGAAAAAATACGAACAAGATTTGAATTAATATTAAAGCATCCACGGAATGGAGAATTTGATCAATGCCAACTAGAGCAATAAAATCATTAGTATGATAACTAAGATTCTAATTAAAAATTATCGTTCATTTAAGTTTTGTATATGATTAACATCATTTCAAAGCAATTAACCTTTATGTTTGAACTTTTTTCCATCAAAATTAACCCGATACTTACGCTCAATGCTGAATTCATCTTGTGAAGTCCAGTCGCATCATTTTCTGGATTCAACTCTTCGAGTTGTACTGGTTCATCTTCTTCCTCTATTACTAATGTATTGGCTTCATCTTCATCACTGTCATAGCCTTTCTTCTTCTCTTTATTTAATGATTCACTCTCTGCGTTCAAAAGTAAGAAAATGAATTAGTTGGTTATCGTTAATAACTCTAACTTATCAATTTTCTTTTTTTTTACTTGTTTTTCTTTTAAATTCACAATTAAAAATGAATCAATTGGATATTCAGTATAAATGATACGTACCTATTGAATCTTCCAAGTCAGATTGATTTGGATCGATGGCGGCATCTTTTAAATATTGTGAATAATCAATTGTTTTTCTCGATGCGTTCGCCGATTCATTTGACTTGTCGGATGAATGAGTATTTTTGTTGTAGTTATTTGCTTCGGATTTTTTATATTTGGATTTATCCATGCCAGTTTGTCGTGGCATGGATAAAATACGCATATCCACATCTTGATTGGTCAACTCCAATTTATCATTTGCTTTCGATGCATTCATCGGTATTCGCATATCTTGATCTTGACTCAACAACTCTTTTGCTTTTGATGAGAATGGATTTTGATGCTCTGACGCTGTACTATTTTTGCTATTCTTCGACGACTGTTGTTGTTGCTGCTGTTGCTGCTGTTGCTGCTTCTGTTTATTTTGTAGCGTCTGCGAATGAAATTTAGTGGTGAATTTGATGTTTCATTATTATTATAGATAGGTAAGACTGAAAATGAGGCATTTGATTATATTATGGCAAAGTTGATGTTCCAACACACACAGCCGTACATTCCCATTCATGTTTATTTTCAGACAATACATCCGGCCGGTGTAGATGGAAGAATATTTTGAATGAATGTTAAAATGTGTTAGGAAACGAAATTATTCCTTTTTTTTGACAGAGCTCTTGTTTTAGATGGAAATGCTCAAAAAGTCTATAAGATTTTGATAATAAATCATAAATAATTGCGATAAATTCAACATAAAATCGATTGTTTACCTGAACTGCTTTCAATTGTAGCCCCGAAATGACAGCTATACTCAAGCCGAGTTCACTCACTTGTAGAAGTGTCAATTGTGCAATTTGGCTTAATGTTTCGATGCCCATTTTGGTGAGTTTATCCAGTTCGGTCAGTTCTTCGGATGTCAGTGTGCCAATGGTGAGCGAGCTAAGTTTAATATCATTTTCGTTGGTTGAATTTGCGGCGGCATTGCTGTGTGACAAATTGTTGGTATTCTGCGATGAATGATTGGTATTCGATTCGTTGGATCTTTGGTCGCACCATCGGCTCTTCCGTGGTTTATCTTTTTTCATGTTGCCGAGGCCGTGATCATTGTTCGATGGTGGCTGATATTTATCCAGATTAATGTCCAGTAACGATGGTAATTTGGATGTTTGCGATGAATTTGCTGGATTTGTACTGGGTTCGGGTTCCATGCCAAATTTTACTAATAACTTTTGATGCTGTGCATTTATCATATTGATCGCATTTTCGCGCGCGATTCGTGGAAAATCGCCAAGAATTTCCTTTGGTGCCGTTTCCAAATGTTTCAACAGTACGGCCCGTAATTGATCGGTCAGCGGTTTGCCGTGTGAAAATTTACAATTTTCACGATTATGATTTTTCATTCCTAGATAATAAAATTTACATGGGAAATCGCCGTGCATATACAAACATTTTTCACCTTTGGCACAGCATTCCATCAGATAAAATTTACACAGTTCCGCTTTGCGCGGTTGATTATTATTGTTATTGCTTCGATTGTTGCCACCGCCACCGGTATTATTGCTATGACTAATGTTTTCATCATCAGAATCGTCGCGTCGCCGTTTATGATCGCGTTTGGAATTACCACCGCGATGATTTCGACGTGAATTACGATCGTTGCCGCCACGGTTGCGTTTATTGCTGCCGCCTCCGCCGCCACCTCCACCGCCACGATTGCGTCGCCTGTGGTCGCCCGATTCACTCTCAGGCGATGAATAGCTCGCATCCGAATCATAATACAGTGCATTTTGCTTTTGTGAGCCCTGCGATGGGCCACCATGTGATGGTGGACTGCCACCTCTCACATTCATCATTTCATACTCATCAAAATCCTCAGAATCATTTGAATGATAGGATCGTTCGGCATCGTCGTCAGTGAGTCGTGCCTTTTTCCGCTGCGATTCTTTATCATTTTTACTATGTTTGCGCTTGTGTTTACTCGACTTACTACTACTTTCGCCTTTTGGTTCTTTCACATCCTTACTGCTGGTGTCCTTTGTGTCATCCTTGGATTTGTTTGAATTTAATTTCACTGGTTTCGGCGCAATGCCATCTTTCTGTAGCGCCTTTGCAAGAAGCGCTTCTACATCACCCGCCCAGTCGTCTGTACGACGAATGAAATAAAAAGAAACCAAATGAATTATTGATTAATAACGGCGATGAAAACGATTGATAATTCGTTTTGAAGAGGAATAATCTAGCACACAACGAAATTATTTACGTGTGATAAAATCAAAGAAACAAAAGTACTTACCCTTTGCAACGGTATCGCTAGCTGATATCTTTTTACTTTTAGCTGTACTGTTATCTGGTGTCGACTTGCGATGATCATTTTTGCCCTTGCCATCATTTTTCTTCGAATCATCATCGGTATTCTTGGATTTCTTCACCGGCTCACTGATCGCCGGCTTTACTGGTGCTGCTGGTTTCACTTCTTCATTTTCCTCGTCCGTTTCAATTTCGCCATCTTCTAAGTCTTCGTCTTCCATTGCATTCCGGGCATCGAAATCGGGCTCAGCCATAATTTCTGCCTCTTTTTTCTTCTTCAAATTTGCCTTAGTTTTCTTCTCTAATTTATGTATCGTTCAATAGCTGGAAATATCAAAAGATAAGAAAGAATGGAGAAAACATCAGTTCATTGAGCTAATATTCATCGGCATTCTTATGACTAATATCAAAAGGCACACTGATCTAGTAAACAGTATCGGATCAACGCATATTGGCCACGCGCACGTCGAGTAATTTTGTTTTCGTTTGTAAGCACACTGATTTTTATCAGAGCCCTGGTGTTTCCTTTATTATTCAGCTCGTATTCAAGTGTATTCATTATTCAATTGAATAAAACCACTTCCCGTATGTGTTTATATCATAATTATTATTTTCTTCGCATATCCCCGTTGTTGTGCTAACGCTAAATTTCGGTTGAAGAATTGATCGGTCACTAGTGAAGTAATGAGTAGTAGAGCGAGAAATTCACACATCAAGTCGGCCAACAAGAATGAATGAGATACAAAGAGAAAGTGTGTAGAGAAGTGAGATGGTGGAAATAAAAAAAAAACGGTTTTGCGAAATAATTGACGACGGTGCGGGCATCGACCTCATCGATGAAAAGAAGAACAATTAAAAAAAATGCATCGAGTACATGAAGCCTTGAACAAAAAATGGACGCCTCTAGTTGATTTATCGACTCATTTACATCATTCAAAATAATTGATGACATACTTAAAGGACAAAACCATGACAAACAAAACACACTTTGGTTAATAACAAATCCAATCGAATTGAGATCCAATGGAACATTTTTCATCGAAATTCATTGCTTTTACTTTGGTCAAATGTTCGATTCAGCAAATATTTCCTCGAAATTTGGTTTCGACCAAATTGTTTAAGAATTTTATTTTTCTCGCAAAAATCTGAGCCGAAAAGTAATCAAAAAAAATAACACAATTGCCAAAAATGCAAGATGAAGAGAAATTTTTTTTTGTATCGGTACGTTTGAAATAGTAGAGTAAAAGTTGTTGTATTGGAAAGACGTACGTATATAAAACGCAAAATGTTAATCGAAAATCCAACACATTATGCTACTCTCTGTTCGGCTTCTTCGCAGTAATACAAGAGCAAACACATACACACACACGCACACATTGACCTGACAAAAGCAACAACAAATGTATGCATATTAGTGCGGCATTCACACTCGACTCGACTCGATTCGGTCGTTGTATGTGCGGCTGCTTTTGCTGTTGCTACTACGGGCGGCAACTGTCTCTGTCTCACTGACTAATGCTTTGCAGTCTGTCTCCTTTAGCTACCTTTTTTTTATCTCTTCAAAGCGCATTTACTTCGCAAATCTTCTTTCTATTTCTGGTCGCGAATATTTTTGTTTGTTTGATTTATTATACCTTAAAAATGCAGACTTTGTCAAATCATTTCGTTAACGATCGATTTTTTTCCTCTTTTCTTACTATTGATTATTCTCTTTTTACTACTAAATCTCAGTAACTATTTTAATGGAAAAAATAAATAAATAAATTTCGTTCTATTCAATTGTTCGCCATTAACTTGAAAATCGAACAAAATTTTGCGGAGGTTGAAACGAATGTAAAAAAAACCATCTATCTATATATTGTGTGTTTATTTAAGGTGTAAGCCTAGCCTGTTCACATTCACTCTTCATTTAGGTTAATGTTGAAATGAACATTGAGCGAACGGTTCGCGTACTAAAAATCGTCGTTCTGCTGATGCCTGTTTCACACGCACACAGTGACAAAGATACAGTGAACGGATGAACGAACGAACGAACGAACGAACAAACGAACGTTTGAACAGAGGGCAGGTTAGAGTACATCTTACACACCAATGATTGTATAAATGTGCGTGAGGCTTCGATGGTGTATGTGTATGTCTATGTATATTTATACAATGGACGATGGAACGTGTGAACAATATAAAAAAACAACAATAATGCCATGAAACGAACGATCTGAAATCGCTTGATTTCAATGGGGATTCGGTCAATGCGAAAAATTTTACGACACGAACAAATGACACACGCACTCACACATAGACACAGAGACACGCACATACGGTGCTATGCGGGAATTTCATAATTTATGAGTATTAACAACAGCAGCAACAGCAACAACAACAACAACAAAATGCTGAATGAAGAGCGTGGATCGTCTGTCAATACTCAAAATGACTTGGTCTGTCTGGCAAATAATGAAATTTTCATGGCTCATATATAGTAATTTTTTTTTTGTTGGTTTGCGGTTATTTTTCAAGTTGACATCATCTAACACTTGGTGTCAATTGGGATGTGTATATCTCTCTTTTTCCTCCTTATATACTTTATCTCTGTCTCTCACATAATTCACATTGATCACATCAAACGATCGCCAAAAGTGAGCTCATATTCATCGTTTGAAACGAAAAAAAAATTAGCACAAATCTTGCATACAATTGCGTAGCACCAATAAAATAGCGGGTAATGGCTACTGTGGCTGGATATCATGACCAGTAACAACAGTAGAATCGGGAAAAAACAACAACAACAACTGAAATCATGACACTCAAGTCACACTCAAAAGTAGCTGCAATGTATGGTTCGCCATACGTCATCATCACTATATATCAATCATAAATAATCGCATATATCTGTTGCATTCTCTCTTTCTCTCTCTCTCTCTCTGTCTGTTTTTCACTAAGCAAACTAAATTGCTACATCTATAAATATTCGAAAGGAATAGAAACAAAAAAGAAGAGTGTAAAACATGCATATATGTCTGTCTGAGATGAATCAGCTCATCGTTCTCAGGTTGGATTAAATAGATGAGTTTTGTATGCACCGTTTTTTTTCTTTGTTTGTATCGATCGAATCGAATCGCAAAGAAAAGGATTGAAATCGAAATCAAGTAACTAGGACATTCTCGGTCATAAGGCTCGATGACGTCAGACAAAGAAAAAAAAATCTTCCTAGGAAAAACGTCACACTTTGAACAAACTAATAAAATAACCACTCCACTGTGTACGAATCGAGCTGAAAATAATCGGTTCAATAAAAAATAATAATAATAAAAAACCGTTTTTCCATCCATATGAAGACGAAACTATGAAAATATTGCCAAGTACCGTACCAGTGGGAAATCAGTGCTGAATAATGCATTCATTAAAAACTACGAAAAAAAATCTATTCATTAATTGCATTGTGTTCAGCGTTTCATATCAGCTATGAACAGAGAAAATTATATTCGCCGATAATTTAACTTGCATACCCCGCAAACGAATGTTGATATATTTTTACTGCGTTGTGAAATCTTGTCTTTTGCAATAACAACAACACACTTGTTAGTTTCTACATTGTAAACTACGTATTTAATCTAATATAAACTTTTTGGTTGGAAACGAATGAACGACTTTCAAGACGAAAAATCGAAATTGAGCTCATCCAACGAACGAACGAACGAGAATTTAACGAAATCAAACAAAATACAAGATAAATAAAATATGAAATGGCTTACTGCAAAAAAAAATGCAAGTACAAATCGATAGCAGAATAAAAATAAATGATATTAGTTTGGTTTTAGCTGGGCTCTCTTTCTGTCTCTAGTTAAAATGCCATTATATAGTATATTAATGATTGCGCGAGACTCTCTCTCTCTCTCTCTCGGCTAGCGTTGCCTTTTGTTTGGAATTATATGCACGACTTTTTGTTTGTAGCTCTTTTGTTTCATGCTACGACCGACGTTAAATTCAATTCGTTTTTTTTGTTATTAAATTAGAAAAGATAATATTGATTTTGTGGCCATATTTGTTTTTTTGCTATACATACTGTCGATTGATACACAGAAGATAAATAGTAACACATTAGAAGAGACTGTTGTTTGTTTGTTTCTTTTTTGATATCTGTTTTTAGTGCTCTCTGAACCAACCAATTTAACTCGGAAGAAAATTTGCTCAATAATGCTTTTTTCGAATAAAAATCTCAAGCTTGAAATGGTTCTATACGATGGCTGGCTGGCTCTTGATTCTTTCTCTGCTTTGGTAAGCGTATGTGTGTTTGTATCTCGTTGTATGTGTGTATGTCTGTATGTGTTTGTATGAGAGCGTGTTATTGACAGTGTATGCGTGATGCGATGAGAGTTTGGGCCAAAGAATGACGCCGTCGTTTATTGGCACTTACACAGATTTTTCTGTGTACAAATTGTGTAGTGACTCACTTTCATGAAAACATGTACATATGGTTGCTTCTGCTAATGTTGCTGTTGTTTGCTGTTTTTGGGACACGTATATGTAAGCGTACGTTTTTCAACCAGAGAGTGAACAGAGCTCAGTAGCAGCAATCGCAATAGTAGATACACATACACATACATTTTGGGCACACTAATACGCCAGCATTGTAATTTCCGTTTCTGTTTCGATTTCATCATTTTGATATTTCGGTGTTCCATTCGTACCGACAAGTTTCTTCATATGTATACTATCCACATACATACATTGATAGTAAGCAGGTGCAGCTTATACGATGCCATTTCAACGGCTGTTTCTATTTCATTTTTGGATGAGTGAATGTGTGTATGTTTGTATGTGATTTTTGATGAATGTATAATGGTTAGGCCAAGTCGTTACTTTGCGCGCACGTTTTGAATTTATATTATTTTTTTCTTATTCTTTACTCTCCCATGGAGCGGAACAGCGAACGAAACGAATACGAACAATAACGGCAGCTACAACAACAACAAAAACAAAAACAACAGCGATCGTCAAAATTATCGTAATTCCTTTATATGGCATTTTTCATATCTCTCTCTCTCTCTCTCTCTTTCTCTATGTCGCCTTTAATTACTCCCATGTGTGTCGATAGCAGAACCGTTCACGTCAAAAAACAAAACCAACAAACAATACTATATATATTTGCAATTATGACGAAATTGCAAGTAGCATTAGCGAGATATATTAGTATTATTCACATTTATATAAGTCAAGAACGCGCGCGCGTGTATTACACTCTTATTTAAAAAAAAAATCAAATAAAAACGGATGTCAAATATGCATCTAAATATCTGTCCGTTGCACGATACCGCAAAAAAAAAACCAACATAACTCAGACGGTACTGTCGTTTGAAAAAGCAATTTCTATGACATTCGAATTTTTCTAGGATTACAAACCATACACTGTTTCACCTTCCTGTGTGTATCCTTTTCTTGCGAAAATTCAGAGCCAGAGATTAGAGCAACCAATGAGCGAGTTAAAAAAAATAAGAAAATTTCGAGCGAAAAACCATCGAAAACTTCGCTATGATTGTTAAATGAAATAGTTCAAATAGATCAAAGGCAACTTCATTTTTGTTCCCATGTATTTTCTAGAGAAAGAGATTAGCTGTTGAGAAGCAACAACAAACGCATACGCGGTACGCTTGTATTGATCGAGCGACACATAGCTCTTCCATATATATATGTAGGCAAAGTAAATGCGTATTAAATTGTGTAGAAAAATTCAACATGGCCAACTACCATTATTTCTTCTCGTTTATACTCTTTTTTTCATGGCAACAGCAATAACAAAAAGTGTACGACATATTCTCTTTTTTTTCTGCTGCTTCGCTCTGCCATAGGTTCGTTTGTACATTCGCGTACATTCTGTATGCATAATTAAAATATGTATAGCTTGGTCTTTGTCTTTCTTTCATTGAGACCCCATTATCGTCTATACTCTCCATCTCTTTTCGCAAAACAATTTATCAAAAAAAGGAAGATTAGGAATTTACGACAGAAAAAAAAATTAATAATTAACGATTTACTTTTATGATGGTTTAGATTTTGTTTAAGAGATTTTTCTTTACCAATATCGGTCTTTTTTAGCGCTTTTGCAAATACGAAAATTGCTTTTCGGAGACAATATTTTCTCTCTCTCTCTCTCTGTGTGTGTGTGCGTGTGCAAGTTTTTTTTAGACGATTACGTCGGCTTTACTTTAACTTTTTTTGTTCTCGTTTTAAATTTCGATTAAAAAAAAATACAAATCCATACATAATTTCTTTCTTACAATTTCGATAATAGTTTTTTTTTCTTGGTTTTATATATTCAGATGGTATTTAAAAAATTTCTGCGTTGATTTATTGAAAAAAGAAAACTGTTTTGTGAACAACTGCATTTCGCTACGGATCAAACTGAAATAAATTTTCCCCTCTAATATACTCGTCTTTTTTCTACGTTTGCTTTGCCATTGCCTTCTATCATACACACACATACCGTACGTTTGTTTGTAGTCATATTTAGGTTAAACCAGACTCTGTATATGCATGTATTCACAATGTTACACAATGAATTTAAGCGTGAATTGGCTTTCAATGTGTTTCAGTTGTCGGGGCCACACTCCATAATCCGGTGATGGGATGCGACATCGTTTGTGTATGAGTGTCTTTCATTAACATCGAGCGTTTCATTCGATTGTGAAATAGAAGCAATTTTTGATTCGGGGAAAAGACGCAGTACAGCGAACTGGATCGAAATCGGTCCCTGACGTGTTAGGCTGTACAATTGTGTGAGTTGAGGCGCGCATGTGAATGTATTCGATCACTTTTCATTCTTCTATGTGTGTGTGTATGTTTGATGTACGATATTCGCATACTTCATTTCTATGCATGGACACTGCAGCATCACTATACATTATACATCAAATCGGTACTAAAAACTCAGAACATCCATAAATTTATGCCATTCATCGGACTTGCATTCACACTTGATTTGTTCGATTTTTTTCTTCTTAAAGCAATTTCATGACTCAATCCATTTTTCCCTTGAAATATGTGGAGAATGCATGAGTCATTCCAGGGGATAAGCTTCTGATCCTGGACTAGACTCTCTTTTATCCTTTGGCAAGAAATAATCCTTCTTGTATCAGATTTAAATTGAAATCACTTTTAAATTTGAATTTATCGACCATACCTTGTGACTTTTATCACTTTGCATTTGAGATCTAGTACTCACACTATTTTCGTAGTAGATTTGTTCCAAATTATTTATTAATTAAAAATGAAATTTAAAAAATATGTAAACAATTGAGATATAAAACAATTGTTCAGCCTAATATTGGTTTCTAAAATTGCGGTGATTCATTGCAAATGAAACAAATTTTTTGGTCGCATTTTGGTTAAAATGTTGGCAATTTTCGGTATATTTACGTTGTAGAATATTTGGACAGACAAAACATTTTTCTACGAACTTTCATCTTCATCATTTTTTTTTCTCTTCTTTTAAATATCATTACTGATTAAAATTATTCTAATGGAGATACAAATTACAACCATTTGTATATTGGAAAACAAACAAACGAACAAACATTACGCATTTACCAATAAATAAACTGTTTATATTTTTGTACATTTAAAAAAAAAAGAGGAAAATCCTCTTTGTGTGCGGTTCAGGATTTCAAACTGGTGTTTGAGATGTGTTGGTGTTTTCGAGGAATTTTCTACTCGCCGGCTGGTACACTCTCTCTTATCATATTATTCTTAATCTTTACATATATGGGCAGTCATCTCGGATAATGGCTCCAGCTCTTTGGCCGACACCAAATCAAATTCTTGAACAAAGTAGTAAAAATGCTTGTAACAAGTGTTTACATGCGCTTCCTGCAATGGGCAATGATATAAAGGGAATTGTGATTAGAATTTATGTTTAAAATGAATTCAATTTGAAATAAACTAATGTTTAGAATAAAATGTGAAATAAAATTTCAAAAATATTTTGCAAGAGGAAATAATGAAATTTTTGAAGAAAAAAATGAGACAAAATTTAAGCTTCATTTTGAAGAAAAAAAATCGCATAAAATGTAAATATTCCAACATAGCGTCAATTTCGACATTAATTTTACTATTCTCGATAAGATTACGCGTTAGTCATTTAACAAAAGTGTTCACTTCCAACTTAACGCGTATCAGTTGAAAATATTTCGAATTTTTCAGATTGAAATAAATGTTTTTGTTGAATTTCATCCAACAATTCAATTTGACTCTGATAATTTTAACTTTTATGGTTGAAGAATTAACAAAACAGTTCTATTCAATTGTCCCAGATAATAAAAACGAAAGAATGTCGCAATTAAACAAAACTTACCGCTCCAATGCTGACGATCCGATCAAAATGATGGATGTACACGTGTACAAAGACCCGGAAGAGCCTTGTCAGTATTTTCCGGCAGAGATGTTGAAACGTTTTCGGAAAAGGAACATTAGTTGTAACGGGAAATACACTGAAAAATATGCATGTCCATTGAATTAATGCCCATCGAATAGAATTTAGTGGGTGCATAATAAATAAGAGAAGCGAATAATTAAATAGACCAAAACCAACCATGAAATTAGTGTTTTAAGTTTAGATTTTTTGTTAGTATGTTTCTCTGAATCAAACATGCCTCCAAAAAAAATTGGTACCTTTCGTTATTGATTTGGCTTTCTGTCCAGTCCATCAGATATTCGATGTACTTTGGTGCTGGTAATGCTGTTGGCTTTTTAAAATTCTCACCATCGGCCCATAAATATTCATATCGTGGTCCACCAGACATCGTTGGGCATGTGGTTTCATTACAATACTCCGATACAGTGCCATAGATTAAGTTGATACGATTGAAGAAATCGACCACTGTTGAACAGAAAATTGAAATTATTATTGGAAATTGGGTAATTTTGGAATTTTTTTTTCGAGATAAGATGAATTTTCTGGACTAAACTCTGATTCTTTCTATCAAAATCCACCTTTCTAGAAAAACTCATTTTTATAATCGATTAACATTTTCCCCGTTCGAATTTTTTTTCCCAATATATACCATGCACTGCAATCCAATCGTTCATATTTTCGCCTTCTGGTAGTTTGACAACTTGCCGTAAATTAATACCCGATTGAAGACTGGCCTGAGCTTGTTTATGTAGCGAGTATCTAATTGTTCCCTGAGTAAATCTTTTTTTCGGTCGAAATGTCTGTTTTTAGGAGAAAAATTGATTATTAGCCACCGATTGAAAGTGGATTTTTCAAAACGAAAAATCAAGAATGAAAAAAATAGAACAAAAAAAAATTGCATATACATTGTGTGAACGAAGATGTAGGCCAGAACCCACCTTTCCCTTTTGGAAAAAATCCAGAAATCCGTTCAGCGCCATCGTCAGTTTTCATTCACCGTGAATCGTTCAATTGTTTGATGATTTGTTTTGATTATTCGTCGATCGCCTTAAATTTCAATGGTTTCAAATATACACACAATATTCACCACACAGCCCATACATCACACACACCCACAACTTTTGCACTTGAAATGGACTCTCGTTTTCATATCAATCGGCCACTTGCTTGAATTCCAAAATAACTCACTCGAAAATAGAAATTATTGTTCACGTAGGAAATTCCGATAAAATGCGATTAACTTTTGTGAAATGGCCAATTTTATTTGAATCATATGAGAAGAGAAAGACACTCTCCTGCTACGATCAAGTCAACTGAGAGAACGACGACAAATATTACTACTAGTAAACAATGGCAAGTCATTCAATATGCACAAACACAAACAAACGAAAAACAAACTCTTTTTTTTTTGAATACATTTAGTACACACGCAATGCTAAACAAATGTTAAAACTTTCTCTCATTTTCAATGCAAATTGATTTCAGAGCAAAAGATTGCCAATTGGGAATGTGTTTTATTGAGAGGGCCCGAGTTTTGATTGATTTTTATCGGGTTTTATTGTTGCTTATGTAAAATATTGAAAAAAAAAATTGCATCAGAATCTATAATGGATACGTTCAATGACAGTAGAATGAATTCTGAGTGATTCCGACAGTTGATTCCACGAATGACACGAACGGCGTGAACACACACGAATTTGACATAGCTACCGCTTGGTTACCATTTCATAATTCCATGAAATCTCTTATTCGACGGTTGGAACGGGGGAACTTCAATTCTGTTAATATTGAGTTTGGGTTCTATTCGAATTAGAGTGCACACAGTCTGTCTATTTGAATTTGAATGAATAAACTAAAGACATTACCTTTTGAATATTGAACTTATTTCAAACATGATATTACAGTAAAATCTGGGATGATATTACAGTAAAATCTGGGAAAAGTTTATCGAAATGTCCCAGACGTGACATTAACCTTTTCTGGAAAGTTTTAAAAATCGAAAAAAATATAAATTGAAATATAGCAAATTTGTTCGAATTTCATTGTAATAATAGATTTTCATCAGTATACATCGAATATCATTTTCCCCTGAGCACCATTGACGATTTTTTCTTGCTTAACCCTCTAATGCATACAACCGCCTCCAGATGGGAAACATTTGAACGCCTGTAGAACATAAACCGTACATCGGTTCACATTGCTTCAAAGGGAATTTTTATTCGTCAATGTTTTCTCTTTTTTTTTGTCTTTCGCAATATTTGTCTATGTAGTGTGATTGTAAAGTTATAAACAAAAATGTGTGCAAAAACAAAAATTTGACAAAATAAATTATTCGAACTCCAAATTAGACACATTTTTGACACTTTTAAACAATGGATTTGATTGTTCTCTGATTAATGTCAATCGCATTTCCTGACTAAACAATGAGGAATCCAGGATTATGAATATTTTTTTAATTATCTATTGCCAAAAATCAACCAAGTACCAATACTCCCAGCCCTGAGGAAAATTTATGCATTAGAGTGTTAAGATTAGAGCATCTTCACACTTTATCCTAATTTTTATCTGACTTTGTTATTTGACTCACTTGATTTCGCGTTAGATGATCTAACCAATGAGCCGATGTGACTCGTCGCCTTAGTGCGCAATTTTTTTTCAGTTTTCAAAACCCGGTATAGATTCAAACTTCACTCCGTCTACGTTATTCTCTTATTCGTGTTCTCGAACAAAAATCCAAAAGTCCAATGAACGTATTTTTTTTAGACTTTTTCACACGTGGATTACGAGTAACTGACATGAGATAACGAAAAATTGTCTTCGGCAAATATTGCATAACATCTGAAAACAATAAAAATTCATTAGAAATCCCCCCATTTTAATCGATAAGCAATCGAACGATCAAAAAGTTATTTAGCTGTCATGTAATCAAAGGCCACAGCGTAAAGGGCATTTAATCAATGAGAAATCAAAAGTCACAATGCATTTTCAAACTTTCTTTATTGATCTTTGGTTTTACACTTTACAATTTTTCAGCAATCATATTGATATTATAAAAAAGAGATGACCTTACAATAACGATTTTTTGTTGTGTTTTATTTTTCTTCTTTATTTTCTTCTTTTAATTTAATCAATAAAAAAGGATAAACAATGAATAGAATAGAAAAGAAAAGCAGTATTATTGATCGATACATAAGCTATGCTATATATTTAATATCTAAACAAATATAAAAATTTAATTTATTTCTTCATTTCCTTGATTGTTTTTATCATTCGCTTAACTCTGATTTTACTTTTTGCTTCTTCGTCTATTTCCCGTTTTGTTTTAGCATTAAGAACAGCTTTGTCGAAAAATTTATTTTGATTTTCTCAGTATTTTAATATCTCGACGCCGCTACACTAGTAAAGAATGTAATCGTGACCATGGTTATACTTTTTTGCCGCTTCGAAATGCGTTTTTCTACAATTCACAAATGAATGCCGTTGAATTTTGTCAAATTAGAACAATGCTGAGACAACGGTTGACAGTTGGAAAATATTGTTGTTCGGTAAAAATACATAGCGATTGCCAATCATTAGTTTAGTGCTTAAGCATTTTGCATATTGGGTTGGATTGAGAATATGTCGATTTTGATTGGATTTATGATCAATTATTTTTACCATGCAGCAATATTTTGCTATTTTTCAATGTATTTCATCGTCTTGAGCTCACGTTTTGCCTCACTCATTTGAACTTCCATTTTGAGGTGAAAATCCAATCCAAATTTACACAGCTACTTCTAGTTTTTTTGTCCATAGCTTTGAGTAAACTCTTGGTAATTCTTGGATTACAAGCCCTCGATTGTAGAGCGACTTCAAATCCCAATCAAAATTTATGTCAAATTTAAAGCATTCATATGCGATTTGATCTTAATCCACACGTGATTTGGTTGGTCAGCAAAAATGTTCATGTTGAAATTTTCTTTAAAATCAATTGAATTGCGGTTTAAAACAGAAACTCGAATAATTTTCAAAACATTTCTTTTGATAAAATTTTATGATTGCCAATATAAATAAAAACAGAAAATGGGCAAGATTACAATGTACTTGTTTCGTATCCACTAGCATGAAGTTTGAGAGAGAGAGAGAAAAAAACGGTTCAACTTGATAAAAAAAAAATACAAAAAAAAACATTGAAATGATAAAACGGTTGACATTTTTGAATGTATTTTGGTCTTCTCTCTTCTGCATCGATGATTGAAAATGAAGCGAGTGTTAACAAAAGCATCAACCGTCATCTGCATTTATCCTAAAAAAAATGATGAGAGAATTGCTCCGACTGTGTGTTTAAGATTATTTGCATAATATTTTTGTCTTTTGATTTTTTTTTAATCGGATTTGTCTTAAATCAAGTTTTTTTGTTTGTTTTTTATTTTTATATAATGAACTTATTTAAGAGCTCTGAGAAATCAGAATACCATCTATCGAATGATTTCTTGTTGAAACCCATGCCACGTAACGCGTTCGATTTTCTCGATCTAGGGAATCAGAAGAAATTTACGCGACAGACAACATTTGTAGGGTTTTTTTCTTGTTTAGATTAAAATTACTCCTAATTTAATTTGTGTTTAATATTTTTTTTTGTATTATTATATCAAGACCTATCTTATACGTATTTTTTTATCTATCGATTTTTGTTCTGTTTTTATTCCTTTCTTTAATATGCTAAAAGTAGACATAGTCCAGTAAATGTGTTTTGTTGTTGTTTTTGTTTCATTTAATTCTTAAATCTGTATGGTTATTCCTTTAGATCGAAGGTTTTGTTTTGAAGTTTCCAAATTCTAATAACAATTCAAACTCAGACATGTGTGTATGTGTGTAAAAACGGTATGTAATTCATAATTTTCTTGTTTGTTTGTAATAAAAACAGCTTCGGCCCTTCGATGGTTACTTGAACTTTTTGATTTTCTTCTTGTTTTCGATTTTTTGTCAGCTTTTTCTTCCTCTTTTTCTTTCGATGCATGCTCATTTGATTCCATTTTATACGAATCATTTGATTTTCGAAGGCTGTCCGACTGACAATCTAACTAGCAATGAATCGAATAAATCAAGATCCAATGCAATGGCATTCATGCGTCAAATCTTTTTAGATTTTGTGGTTGTCGCAAATAAATTATGACGCTTTTTGATTTTTTCGATTCTTTTTCAACCAAATTTTCGAGTTCAACCACGTTTTGGATTTTTGAAATACGGCTTTGGACTGTAACCAAAACGAAGCCTCCGGCATGTTTTTCTGACTCGATGCATAAATGCCATTGCATCTCCGTCCTAATGTGTTATTCTCCAATTTTGTCTCGAATCGCACGGCCTCTTTTGTTCAAAACGAAAAAAATTTCATGCAAACAAAGAAAAATCGTTCGTTTTAAACCGCACAGCTGCTGTTGAAGCAATTCCATTCCCGTTTTGGTAAATTTAAAACAAAAAATGATGTCTGATCTTTGCTCATTGAGCTGCTGTATCAATCTTAAGGGATAGTTTTTGGTTTAGTTGTAATAATGTTGTATTTGTCTCCCTTTTTGTGTTGCATTTTAAATCTAATGTCTTCATTGTTTTTAATTAATAATTATTTTGATGTGCTCTCTTCAAGAGAGACGCTTATTAGATACACATTTCTGACAAATAATTACTCTATAAATCTATGTACTCCTTTTTAATATATATACTTTTTTGTCATTCGTTTCATTTGAATTTGTTTGTGTGTATTGATTTTAAAAAGTTTTTTTCCCTTAAATGTTGTTTTTCCGTGTGTGTGTGTGTGTGTTTTTTTTTAAATCCAAATTCAATATATATTTATTTATAATATGCTTAAAACGACTTATGAATAGAATTAGAAAAGAAACGAACGGATTCAACTGTAAAAATCCATGTCTGTCTGAGTGTTGTTCTTTGTTATTTTTCCTTCGTTTTGTTTTACTGAGTATGACATTTGAGAGTGTGAGAGAGTGTGTGTATTTGAGTTTTGAATATGTATGTGTGTGTGTTTTTTATCAAGTTTTCTTTTTTGTTGTTGAAGCTATAGTTAAATCTTAACAGTTTAAGATTTTGAGTGTTTTTCTTGCATGTTTTTTTTCGTTTCATTTATTTCAAAATGTTACCGAACATATCGTCGTCATCATCATTGATCGTTAAACACCAATTGATGGACACCTAGTCTCTTCTTCACCCTATTCAGATCAATTAAATGCTTGGCTTTTTGTGTATATGTGTGTCGATTTGGTTGGCTCTTCCTTTACGAAATCGTCTTAATCCTTGAGAAGTGGTTGATTTGTTCTTATTCGTTGTATATTTCATTTTTTTTCTGCCCATTAAAAACAAGTTGCAAGTGAGATAGATGGAGTGGGTGAAGGAGAAGGGGGAGAACATCATTTCTATTCCAGTTGCTTATGATTGTGATGATGATGTTGATGGTATGATGCATGCACTGCCCGTGGGTGATGCAGCACTTGCCAATGAATTGGCACGCGTTGCGGCCAACGGTGAACGAATCTCATGTGATGATGACGATATTGTTGATTGAGTATGTAAACCATTTATCAAGTCTGCACTGTTACTGCTGCTGCTACTTCCACCGACTAGTAATGTGCAACCATTTGGCCCATCATTGCTACTGTAGTAATAGGCTGAATCTGGAAAAGTATTCGGAAGCAATTTTTGTCTGTTAGAAAATTCAGTATAATGAATGATACGGTGACCATCTCCATTGAAAATAAACGCTCACCAAAGAAAATGGAGACGTATGCTTCCCCATGGAGACGGTCACAAAATATTTCAACTGTGCAAATATGATCGGAAATGGATTTTTTCGAACATATATTTCCTGTTGAACGTGTTTAATTTCTAATTTTTCTATCGTTTTGCATCGATACATTGTATTCTTTCGAAAATCGCTTTGTACAACGTTCAGCAGAAAATGGGCGAAGGCAAAAATGGAAATGATTGAGAAGGCAAACGAAGTTCAAAATGTAATGAATTCAAATGATTTGAAGGCGTTGTTGCCATAGAATTATTTGAGTTGATTGAAGAATTTAGAAGAATATAATTTTTGTTTTGATTTCATTATCATTTCAATTTTAATAAAAAAAAAATTCTTTTTTCGAAAATGTGTGTTGTTTTTGTTGTGCACCGTGTATGCGAATGAGTTTTTGTGATGAGTGAAAAAATAAATTAATCTGGCATTTATTGTTCAAACGTAATATACTCACTGTTTACTTACTGAGCAGCCCGCCAGCAGAAGAGCTATAACCGTACGGACTGTACGCATTGCCATATTGAGGATAAGCCGGACTATATGCATATTCAGTGCCAGGTACAACCGTTGAACCACCTACATCATTCGACACACAATTCAGAGTGAAAAGAACAAAAGAAAAAAATGCCCGCATAATTAACAAAACTCTTTCGATTTCCGAACAATCAGAGAAAAAAAATGTGACAGAGCAAACAAGAGTTTAATTTTAAGGTGTAAAACAGAATCCCATAACCTACTTACACTAGATGGTATTTAACTTAATTGAGCTAATACAATTCTATGATTTAAATGAGATCAATCCCCGATTGCCGTAAATAAAATATCACTAAGCCCTTTGAAACATTTTGTGCGTGTGAGAGTGGGTGTGTGACTACAATTACGTATTCAAATGGTAGTGCATTTGTATCATAAATTTCGTGTCATTTTGACCGAAATTTGTGTTTATCTAATAAGCGTGGGTAGATTTTGGTTGTGCGCAAAAGATATGTGCCGAAGTGATCGCCCTAAAAGGATTTCGTACGTGCATGTGATTTGGCGAGCCTGATTTAGTGAGAAGAAAATATTAAATAAAGAGAATAATTAACGAAAAGTTACAAAAGAAATAGGTGGAAATAAATGAAAAGTGAAATTAAGAATGAAAAATGTGAAGAAAAATTTGTAAAATTAAACGTGTAAATTGGAAAATCAAACTAAAATAGAGTAAAACTGAAAATAAACCGAAGACGGTGAAGTCAAGTACTTGCCTGGCGCATAATGACTAAAACTAGGTAGCATTGGAGAGTAAGCACCCAGCCCAGTGGCCGAATTAGTTGAGCCGATTTCACCGGACGCTCCACTGGGCTGTAAAATGATCAACGAAGATTGATCGTTGGGAGATTCGGTTGGAAATGAGCGGTTGTCAATATCATGTGCATGATGATGATCTTGGGATTGTTGTGAACCTTGTTCATATTTGCTGGGAACTTGTTCGTATTTATTGTTGGTTGAACCATCTTCCACATCGCCAGTGGTGGTGGTTACGGGTGGATTTGGTGTTGGTGTACTATTATCTAAGGACAAAGGCAGTCCAGGTGAACCGTTGCTTGGTACTGGACCAATGAATGTTGAGTACGAATGACCATTTATCGTTGCTACATCGCGACCATTGAATTTTAAAAGAAATTAAAAAGAAACGAAAACAAAATAAATCATAAGAAAATTGAACTTAAAGAAATCAAGAGGAAATAAACGAAAGTTTGACCAAATTCACTAAATCTAGGCCGAGATTTGAGACTATAAAGTGATTTTTCCGCTCGTTACGGTGGATATTGAGTGCAAATTATTTTCAATTTTGTACGAAAAGTGCGAGGTGCTCGACGATGCACGGTTTTCAAAAATAACATTTGGATGCGTGTGTGTATATGTGTGTGGGTGTGTGTTTGTGTGAGGTTGAGCCTCTTACCTTGAAAGGATGGGTGATCAAGCAAATTTCCCGAACTTAATTTCATTTCTTGCATGCTAATCGGCGCTAATGGCGTCAATGAACCTGGTCCTTTTGATTTAAAATTGTTCCGATTTTAGTATAAATTTGTTTTACAACTATCAAATATGTTTTGTTTTGTTTTACTGAACTGAACTTGAGAACAAAATGCAAAAGGAACGTGTAAAAATGCTCGTATTTTTCTTCAACTAATTTGAAATGAGTTGATTTTTACATCGTTTTTAAATGTGTAGACGCGAAAAAAAAACAGTATAATGTCAATTGATTTAGTCTAAAAATATATTTCACAATCGCCAATCGATTAGTTCATGAATAGTAGAAAAAACGGGCATTTTGCAATTCATTCCTTTGATTTTTGTTGTATCATCGATTGCTCTGTCTAACTGGCTGTTTTTGTTTTTCATCGTGTTTTGTTTTAAAAAGCATGAATGAGCTCAAACTGAATGAGAAGGTATAGGATTCTGTCTGATACCATAAAAATATCATATCTCCTCGTAATTTTCTTTTTCGTTCTATCATTCGTTTTTATAAATGTTATTTTGATTGAAATAGCTGTTTTTGTGTGCGTATTTGACCGGGAGAGCTCGATTTCGTTGTTATTGATTTTATTTTAGTTCAGCTTATGATTAAGAGAGCATATGTTTGATGCGAACACTTACCAAGCGTTGACACAACGGGTGGTGTATATAATGAGCTTTGAGCCTGGGAAATGGTTGTTATGCCGTCATACAAAATCGATTCCGTTGAGCCCACACCATTCGCTGTTGAGAAGCCATTGTGATGACTATCGTAATATGCGGCCGCCGCGTTACCATTACCACCGCCTCCACCAATTCCATTCGCCGCACTCAGCTCCGAAAACATCTTTTGCTCTTCTTTTATACACCATTTACTTGACCATAACTGTGGGTGAGATACATGACCATTCTATTAGTTTTTTTTTGGGTGTGTGTGTGTGACATATTGCACAGTAATAAAAGGGGTTTTGGGATATTTATCACATAATTCATGCGAATAAGTAGGTTGGGCTTTGCAGTTTCCAAAACTTCGTTCAAAAGCATTTTTCATCCTCACCAAAGCATTTCTTTAATCAATGAAAAAGGCATGGTTTTCAGTTCAAATCAAAACTGTGGAAAATTTTCCTTTCTCAAAACATTGTTTTCTGGATTTGAAACTGTGTTTGTATGAAATTTGAATGGAGAATAGCTAGAATGTTGTGTCAAAATGACGAAAGTTGAAGGAAATTTCAACGATTTAAACTAGCAATCAAATTCGAGGTTCAATCCCAATCAAGCTCCAATAAATTCGTCATAAATTCCCCAAAAATCCACTAATTTAAGCATCGAATCAAAGCCAATAATTACGTTTGAGTAGATTTGATCTCCGTTGTATTGGTTCCTTTGTCGTTTCAAGTCATCGTCGCCATGAATATCACGTGCGTCATCTGAAATGGAGGAAGAAAAAAAGACTCATGTTCATATAAGACGGAAAAAAACAAAATTCCAAGACGTCATACACAAATAGACAGTTTTTGTAAATCAATTTTTCCCTTCTTCTTCTTCTTCTTCTTCTTCTTCTTTTCGTTATTGTTGCTGTGCAGAACGATCGAAGAAAAAGAAATTGGAGACACATTCAATCGTAAAAGTATGTCAACGAGACCAATTATTCTGGATGATGTGCTGTAAAAAAGCCGTATCCTTCGTCGACTTATCGCCTAATTGCACTCAAACTTCTGGTGGCTTGCGTGAAGCGCTTTGGAATCGGGAAAAATGGTGAACAATGGCTGGTGGTGGTGTGTGGTGGCGATGACGTCGGGTAAGAGCGCAACATCATCAGCAACAACAACGGCACACACAGAGAGAGATTGGGAGCATGAGAGAACAGTTTTTCATGTCGATATCATTCGATCCATCGTCGTATGAAATAAATAAAATGGGTGTCTTTTTGGTTGGATGGATGGAGTTTAAGAGTGGAATTCTTTATGCTTCTTTAAGCAATAATAAAAGCGTGTATTTCAAGAATGAAATTGGTAAGCCGTGTTCGAGTGAACTAGCGGAAAATTCGGAATTGTGCCATCTCTCGTACCACACATTGACACACACACACACATACACAGAAGAAGCACAGTCACACATTCACTCGCCCGCTATCGCTGGCATGAACACACATTCATACACCGCGCAATACTTTTATTACAGTTAAATTTATAGGATCAACCCATCGGAACATCTATCCGTACAATGGTTGCTTGGCAACGATTTGCCTGTTAAACATTGAATAAATGCCATCCGAGAGCGAGCGAGAGCAAGAGCAAGCCGGAGAGACAGAGAGGGCAAACGAACGCATTTGGAGTGAATGTGGCTAAGAGAAAATGGTGGAACGATTCCGAAATACGTGTGTACGTTGTATGTGGGTGTTATTTTTTGTGTGCTGTAGTACACACATTGCGAGAGAGATTATGGCATCAGGCTGCGCAGAAGAAGAATCTCGCTGGGGCTCTTTGCAATGTTATTTTGGAATGATATAATTGAGAGGTGGATAACACCCCGTCGAGTGTATGACTCTCTCTCGAGTCAATAGTGTATAGCTGTAATTACGGTCGACTTGAAATCTAATTGCACATAGAGAGCGAGCGGAAAGGAGGGAGGGAGAGAGTGAGTGAGTATCATGATGAAGTCACACTTTTATACATTTATGCTCGATGTCACCAAACGCCAGACCTCTTTTTTCGTTCGCGTTGTGAAGACATGTTGCGCTAAAATGGTTTTCAAAGTGCACTAGTTTCGTGTGCTACGATCTCGTTTTTTTTGCTGGATTTTTGGATTTGTATAACCTATAAAATGTCGATTCGAATGGCATTTTTATCCGAAATTCCGATTTGAATTCCATTTTTAATGCGAATCAGATTCCAAATGCGGCGATTTTCGAATTTGGAAATGCCATTTCATTCGGCATGCAACGAGCATACACACATTCATGATGTATGACCAACTCACATTTCTCGCAATGACTTTCATTTTGGGTCGAGGCTAAATTGCCTCGAACGCACGCAAATGCACAGAATATTTGCGCAAAAACATCAACAACAACCGAAAAAAAAAACCGTAGAAAAGAAGGAAAAAAAGCAAACAAAATTATGGTTCGAAATGAAACAAGATAATAAGTGAGAATGGTACAAACCATCTATTCGCTTTCGCTTGATGCTGTTGCCATTTGGATCGGTAGTGTGTTGAATGCCTAAAATTCCATTTATGCTATAACCGGTAGACCTTTGTTCACCGCTTCCGCTTCCCGTTGTCAATTGAGTTTGGGTCGAATGTTGTTGCGCCTGCTGCTGTTGCTGCTGTTGCTGAATGTTACCCGAATGGATGATAACGGACACATTTCCAGTGATTCCTGAGTTGTTATTTGCCGACGATCCACTATTCACATTATTTACATTTACAACGGAATTACCAGCTGGACCACCACTTGAATTTTGCGGAGGACATGTTTGATTCTGTTGCTGATGATGAACATGTTTCGCTTTTTCGGCAGCTTTATTTCGGACAATTCTGTGTGTGTTTGGTGAATGTTGTTGTTGTTGTGAGAGCGGGCCCCAAAAAAGAAATTTCCGAATTTCATAAAAGATGCGATGAGCGGCAACGACGGCAGAGCGGTTGGCAAAACGGAAAAGAAAATAGAGAAAGAGAAGAAAAAAGAATAAATAAATTTAATAAATGTGTATGTGTATGGTATTGCATTTTCCGTGCAAAAACAATATTCACTTGGCTTAAGCTAAATTTTTCGACACAAAACCGAATCCTCATCATGAATATATATTCCAAACCAAAAAAAAACCAATAGAAACCATTTCTAAGTGAGAATGTTGGTTTTTTTAGCCAATTTCAATGCACCATTGTTTTGAATCATCGCAAATAACAACTGCAAATGCATCCATATCTTTTCGAAACTAAAATTCTGTTATGAAAACATGGCATAGACTATGGATTGGAATAATGCTAAAAAAAATTGTGCAGAACATACGAGAGGAAAAAGAATGAAAGACAACAATTTTACAGTGATAGGCTAAACTATAACATTTTTGCATAAAAATATGCATCGCACCGGGTCTTTAATGGACAAATTTTCTTGTGGAATTAACATCTTGACACTACTTCCGCTGGCCAAAAACTGCTGCATCATCGATCATGGCAACAAAGTTTTTGTTCGAGTGTGTATGTGAACAGAACAACACCAGGAAATTGTAGGAAATGGCACCATTTAAAAAAAAAAAAACATTGACAAATTCACACATTGTGCTTTTACAATTTGGTGGAATATCAATAAAGCCAACGGAACATCTCTTGAAATATTGTGTCATAAAACAGACATATATTTTTTTTACAAAAAATGAAAATCATAATGGATGACAGTCTGCCTGTGCCCAATGTTAAAATCGAAGCTCAACAAACTGCACTGAACGAACCGCACTGAACTGTCCAGCATCTATAGTGCAAAAAATCGACTTGCACTACAAATTTTTCAATGGAATTTCGAAAAAATCTATTCTAGTCATTGAACTAATCTTCATTGAGCAAGAAAAAAAGCGCCACCAAATCGCTTCTCGACATAATATTTGAAAAATTTTGTATTATTATGCTGAAACATTCGGAAGTGTTGTTCGGAAATGGTGACCGGTAACTCGACCGGATATTTACGACGATTATCTGATGCGAAAAAGGAAAACTCTGGTTGTTTTTTTCTGTACAGACATTTGATAATATCATAAGGACCGAACTTCATGAGTCAGTGTGAGAATTTCCAGCTGACTCAATATTTCAAAACATATTCCGTTGGCTACGCCATTTGGGACGAGACTCTTTTCATTGCAAAGTACCGTTTATCCCGCGCCAATCCATCAATTATATTGCCATAATCGTCTTGTTTGGTTTAATGCGAAAAAAATATGTATGTTTATGATCTCATCCAATGAAATTGGTGTGGTCTGGCCGTAATGGTCCTTTGATTTTGTTACAAAATCGAAACTTAAAACCACGCGCGTTGTTTGGGTGTTTCTGGTACATTGAATAGTCTGTTATATTCGTGCTAATTTATTATTCCCTTGTAATTGTCTGAATCGAACGTGCACACACACATTCAAGTAAACCGAACCGTAATTCGCAGTAAACTTTGTACAACAAACCAAGTGTGCATTCATCGAACGAAGAATTCGAAAAAAAACACCATTTGAAAAAACACCATCTATCGCGAAGTGCTAAAAAATCATCGAAACGGATCACGGTTATTCTATTAATCCATTATAGATCAGATTAGCCTCCGCGGAACAAAGAAAAAAGAAGAACAAGAATCAACGCAAATTCTGAAGCATAAGTCAATTTGCTCGAACATATATCGCGTGTGTGAGTGGTTTTGACACGCGAAACGCACGTCGGCTGGCCATTGTTGTTGTTTTGTTTTCCTTTTCGGTGTGTAAAATTTGTAGCGGGGTGAAAAACGCGAGCGCGTTCCACCAAACAACATTCCGACAATGCGCAGTAAAAACTACATTAAAAACCATTTTTGAACGAAAAATAAAACACCGTATATAAATTATGATGTGTGTATATAGCGCATGAGATCGACCATGCACCGCACACGCACGCCAACAAATTATGTTTGAGTGCGGTATTTAGTACACATTTATTATAGTTTTATCAACTTGTTGTATCTTAACCAATAAAATACAATTCACATACACACTCGAGAGTTATGTAACGTGCGCGCGCGCTTCGACAACGTACGTTGAAGGATTGATGGACAAGCCACGAGAACCATAATGTAATTGAGCGTTAGATAATTGTTTTGAACAAAGGACAGAAAAGCCATATTGTGTAGCAGTAGTAGCAACAACTCGATTAGCCACCGACCATCAATGTTATGCGTCGATTCAGGGCAATCTTTTAACCGATCACATTAGAGGTAATTATAGTGCAAAGTGATGACCTGGGATCACAATACCTGCCTCAAAAGACAATCCATTCTATTGAGTAATTGATAAATTGAATCGAATCGAAAATGCACCGATGAAATTGGGACCACACTTAATACACTCAATGTTTACTGTGCAATCAGTTTATATGATTGTTTGTACCATTTTCACGTACACTTTGCGCTGCTGCGTCTAGCTGTTGGGCAATTCAAATTCAACGCTCAAATAAATCAACAAAATTAATATAATAACAATCATTTGAACGTGTACTCGATGATTTCCGTTCAAATTGGCTGATAAAAGGTTAAAAAAAAATGACGACGTGAGGGTGGAAAACAGACCGAAATGACATTGAAAATATTGAAAATGGGTGCGGATGTTTGAATTTTTTGCTTGAAAAGTTCAAACTTTCACTTTGGCTTGAGTATTTTTAAGTAAAATTTTCCAATCGAGCTAAAAAATGAACACTTCTCAAGCGGAATATTTATTTTTAACCTAATGTTTTTACACCTTTTGAACAAAATCGCGTTCATTCAACCTAATTCACAGAACAATTCAGCTCTTTTCAATGAATTTCATAGTGAAGCTCCGTTTATTCAAGTTTAAATTTTCACTTGATTTATTTGTATTGTTTTCTTTTAAGTCGTTGAGTCAACAACGTTGACTAATTCGGAAGATTTTCACTTCATTGTCATTTTGCTATTCAAGAAAGGAGAGTGAAACTCTTTCCCCCTCAGTTTTTTTTTGCAACTTGAAGAGAAATCAAGAGCTCAAACGCTTTTCTTCGAAAGAGTTAAGCCGTTTTCAATTGATTTCAAATCGATCTCTGTTCACGCATCAAATGACAGCCAGTTAAACAAAGGTGTTACTTCGAAAAATCCGATGGAATTTGGGTATTTCGTTTTTTTAATTTGAAAATGTGTTGTATCTTGTCTCGTCGCCTGAAAGTGTGATAAGTAGTATTACACACATGACGTTCGCCCGAATAGTCCAATGCATTTGATATTCAAACGTGGATTGAATTTTTCCACGTTGAAAACAAGAGGGTCGTTGATGTGACAAATCGATGAAAAATTTCCAACTTTATAATAGGTCATAATCTGATTGCGTAAAAAACATGGTAAAGTGCATTATGGTGCTTATTTGGTGCGTCGTTATTATATTTTCGATTCTAATCATATTTATTCGAAAGGAATTGAGTGAATGAGTGTATGTGGATGTTAAGTGCGGTCATACACAGCACTCAGCGCCCAAAACATAAATGTTCAATCAACTTACTATAAAATAATAATAATATGACACGTGCTTTGCGCGCGTACAAATAATAATGCTGACAGTGCTTCATGTGATATATCCGCAAATGCTGCGGCTGCCGCCGTCGGTTGTTTTTTTTTCGGGTGACATATATGAGCTCTATGAAAATGAAATTATCATAAAAGCCGCCTAGAGAACAGTGGTTCTTGGTGAAACCACTGTATGAACGATTTGACAACGGCGAATCGAATGCTTGATAAATGGTTTTTGGGCTGAAGTCTGAAGTTTTCGCGATTTAAAGTGCATTTACGTTTGATCCCTTTCAATTCCATGTTGCTGTTGTTGTTTCTATTCCAATTCGAAATGTTCGATTGGACTTAATAGCAACTGAGTGACTGTATTACTGTGTGTATCACACACACACACACTCACTCACTCACACAGTCGACACGTGGCAGCTATAACAGACATAGCACAACACATTCACACAGACAAACGCACTCGCGCACATTATTTGCGCTTTTGTTGTTCATTTTAATGTTATTGTCGTGTTACGTATTGAGCGAGAGATCGAAAAAAAAATGCTCGAATTCGAACCACAAATCGTTCAACATAATGCATACAAACATTTAAATACATTCACAATATCCGAAGTACATCAAGAGAGTTTCATCGAAGGGACTGTGTGCTGCAATTGCAACATCCTTTGTTGAGTCCGACGCATGAAAAGAAGAGTGAAAATGAAGTTATGTGCTCTCGAAAAATGAACACACAATTCAAATGCAATGATAATTTATGAATTTGATAGACTCGCAGCAGCAGTAAGTTTTTTTCTGGTGTGTGTGGAGGAGGGTGTCAATACAATTGCAAACCGTTTATAACTACCACTTCGTTTTCCTCACTCTCTCTCTCTCTCTCTCTCTCTCTATCTCGCTTTCAAACACATTCCAAAGTGACTTGGCCATGGTTTTGGCCCGACACAATTTTCAAACAATACGCGACGAGATGTGAATGCGTGCGTGCGAATGTGGTAAATAATAGAAGGAACAGAAAAATCGATTCGAATGATGCTGCTTATCGGAAAGACTTTTCAGTTTGCATTTTCCGACGCCCTTGCAACGACAGCGACAACAACAGTCGAGAAAAAAAAATCCCAATGAAATCATCATTCGCTTTGTTTAGGTAAATGTGACACGCGCCAAAGCGATAATCCACTTAATTTGTGCACGATGATGCACGCAGCCAATTCCGTTTTGCATTTACCATGTATACCATTCAATGGAACTTGACTTCATTTTTGCATCAATAAAAGCGGTTACTTTAGCTACA